CTATAATATTCATACTGATTTTTACAGTTTTTATTTTCTACATAGCAATGTAGAGAAACTTATAAACCGTTTAATATATATATATATAAACTGAATTTGTAAACTTTATTAAACAACTAAATACAATACAGCAAATATGGATAGTGGCTAGCACACACGTTTTGTCCTATTTGGGACTCATCAGCTGGATGTACCTGCATCTCAGAGTTGATGTTCACTCTGGGATAATGCGATGGCGTTTGAAGCGAAAGGTACTGGGTTCCAGTCCCAGAGTGAACAATATGAGCGAAGCAATATGGACAGTATGCACATATGCCAATTAGAGATTAATCATTTGCGATCCTAAACGTCAATGGGAAGATTCAAACAGATAATACCAAGTAAATTTAAATCTGTAAACGTTACAAAACAACTTAACAGACAGAATATAATTGTTTTCTTTTCTTTAATTTTGCTGTATGCACTAAGTAAATTATCGGTTGTTTTTTTCTATCTTCTACAATATTGAATGATTAATGTCAGACAGTCAGTCAATCAGAGAATTAAGTTCATTTATTATTTAAATTGACATTATATCTGATATAAATTCATTGAATCATGAAAAATGGCTCAAGAATTATTTATCTTTCTTAAACTAACTTAATTGTTTTTTTTAAAGTAAATTCAACGTTTCGCCTGGCAATCTTTTTCAAGGAAAAAGCTTGGACCAGATTGCTTGGGCGAAACGTTGGATTTACTTCAAATTCATTCTCTGAGATTTTAAAAATATATTATTCCTATTTAATGTCTTACATCAACTCGGCTCCCGAATACTGTGAAACTATTCGCTCTAATTTAGACGAAAGTTTTTATATATTAATTTTTTTTTTAATTTTACTATATTCGATATACTGTTAAATGTATAAAATCATGATGAATGATGTATCAATGAATTTAGAACTTAGATACTATTGAAAAATGTTTTGTCAAATAGGGATCTGTTCATTCAATCTGCATAATTTCTCAGCAATTGAATAAGACTCTATTGAATGAAACAGTTGTGGTTAAATGATCAAAAGTACAGTAGCTGTTTATCAATAACACGCCACTATTGACTTTGTAAACGGTTGAAATAGTGATAGTAATGTAGTGGACGAGAATTCAGGTGAAGAGAGCCAATTCATTATTTAATACAAAATGCCTTCCTAAAATATGAAAACCATATATTTTATACTTCATTTACACATCTTCCATCAATTGTCTCTTACAAATTTCATCATTCCTTCATTCCTATTGTTGTTACAATTACTCTCTGTTCATATTTCTGTTCTTCTTAATTTGATTTTCCCAATCTTCTGCTGCCAGGTATTGCACTTCTGACCGCTGTTACCTACTACTTATGTCGATAGACATAACAACACACTTAAAATTCACTATTTATTGATCTGTTTTTTTTCTCTTTGTCCACCATTTTAACTTGATTAATTATGATCCTACAATTACCTTTTTATAAATCAATTTTTACGAAAATTTTCTGTCTATGCTGAATTACTTTTCGAAACAAAAAAGAACAACTTCCAGATGTTTATGTACACTGTGGATATTGAATAGACTTAATAAATAAACTGATTTATGTATTAAAAATTTCACAGATGGATTTTAAATTAAATAATAATGATGATTATAAATAACAATATTCAATGAATTCAATATGTAGTTACTTATTTTGGTCCTAAACCATAAGAATAGGTCTTTCAAGTAGTACTGTGGTGTGTGCTACTGATGTTGACAAATATAGGTAGTATGTACCATCAACTGAATGTGAAATACCTGGAGGCAGAAGGTTAAGATCAAAGAAAAGAGAACGAGAACAAAGAATGACGTGTGAAAACAAAAAAAGAACAATGAAGTCTTAGACGATTGACTGATATTTGCAAAAGGAACAGTCAAGTTTGAGACAATTGATTGACATTTTGCAAATGAAGTAATTACCGTATGGTTCTTAGATTTTACTAGTGTTCTGTAATTTTGTGTTCAAATACGTTCAATTGTCTCCACTTGAGTTCTCGTTCACTACAATACAATATACTTCATTTCAATGTGAACTAGAAGAAGTTGTTAAGTTTTCTATTATAGTTCACTGATTTATGAGTATGTTTCATCATCACGGTCATCAGTGTAGCTGATGTTGGGGCAATCCTGAAAATTTCTCGCAATATGCATAACAAGCTCAGGAAACATTAAGAAGCATTTTATCCAATCAGTGTTTGACTAGAAGTTTCGCTAGAAACATCACGAAAGTGAAAAGTCACATATAAAATTTCTGATTGGCTGATTACTACACTGTTACTATGTTTATTAGCATTCCAGAATTTTCAGGAAAACCCAAGGATTTCTAAAATCCTATTAAAAATCCTATATTTTCTATACATAAATGAACCTTTGGAGTAAAGTGTTTCTCGTATATTTTGCGCTTTTTCTCGTGTGTTTAAGTCTCTGTGTAGTTCTAACTTGGCGATTACGAGACTAGCTTAGAATCCGAGTATAGCGTTCAATCAGTAAGACTTAGCAGCCGAAAATGTGGTTATAAGATTTAATGCCTTGGAATGGTTATTCAGTTGTAGAATAACTGTAATATGTTGACTAATTTACTTCGTATCACACTGGCCTATCTTCATTATCATGAATAGTTTTATAAATAATATCACTTATTTAAATTAATGGAAAAAAATTATTTAACATTCAATTAATTGGTTATTGTCTTCCAAGTTATGATATATGAATAGTACTTATTCCAACAAATAAGTGATTTCGTAATGCAACGCCTTCATGAGATAGACTGAATATTCAGATTGACTAGACACGATTACTTCCATTAGTGTTCGCTCCTATTTGTAGCGTATAATGCTTAAGAATGCTCAAACTTGTCGAATGGTTCGATAGAACATTATATTGATTTCCACAATCGGTATACCTTTTGAGAAATAATACTATTTCTATAATTCACCTTATTTTTAATAAATAAGTATTTACATTAAGACTAAGTATAGCACATAATCGTCGTTAAACTAACTATCGAGTGTTTGACACTAGTTACGATTATATAGAATAGAGATAAGGAAATAAATAGAATGGAAGACTGTCAATAAATCTATTTGACTCTCACTACCTTTCATATATATAAGTATATATGTGACCAGGTAGTTTGAAGTGAATAGTACAGAAATGTATTTCATTGTTCAGAATATTTCTGTCTTCTCACAGGTCTATCAAAATTTATCAAAATGGGATTAATTGTTTAAAATCGTTTTTCATTGCTTTATTGCTTGCTTTAATGAAGTATTCATTTTAAACAGATAAAAAACGTTAGAAAACGGCTGTAACTACAAATGATCTCAAATTCACAGGACAAACCATGCGAACCGAGAGATTCTTACTAATTATATCAGCTCACGTAGTTTTCGTGATAACTAATAATTCACTAAAGTTAGGGTAATCTTACCATCAAGCTTTTGTGAATTTCCAAATCTTACTAATATGACATTTTATTATATTATCTATGTTATCCACTGAAGTTGTTTTAGCTACAAGTCAAATACTTTTATTATAGACCGGGTGATTTGGTCCGTGGTCAGTCATTTGTAACTAAATTAAAATCTAGGACAAATATACAATGACTTATGTGACTATACTACTTATCGGAACAGAGTGTGACGACTAACAAGATGATAGACAAAGTGGTCGAAACAAAACAATCACTGACCAAAAAAACCTAATATGAATCAATTAGATATAAATCAAAATTAATGTATGAAATTGATGAATGGAAAGTATGGGAAAACATTAAAACTTAAAATATATAGGAATAAGGAAGATGAGTACATTCGCACCTTTGTGACCAATTACAAGCTGTTATTCATAAGACTATTAATCAATAGTTATTATTTTTGTAAGCTCTAAACGGAAATCATCCATCCAATAATTAACGGTTTTACGATTTGACATCATTGTCTTCATTTAATCGTCCGTAGTATCTATCCAATCTACTCATAGGCTAGTCATTATAGAGCACCAGGTTAGGTGATGTCTAGGAATGAGTAAATTATGTCCCAAACAAATCATCTGATGTTAATTCACACCCATCAACTTATTTACCATTTCTAACTAGTCAATTAGGCTCTGAATATGCTTAACCAGTGTTCTCCCGTACACATGTACAATCCTTTAAAATATTCACCCATTCTTAAAGTCATGATATTCTTGATTGTCAAACTACGTTGGAGCACATACGGTTACATCGCTAGTTCCAACATCAGTACTAACTACACTTTGGCAAAACGTTCCATTTCAATCTTTACTACATTGAATGTTTCTTACATTTTGCATCATCCAATCGATATTCATCAAATTATATGGTAAGTTAATTTTAAAATGGTCAACATAGCCTTAACCTATAAATATAATATTTAAATTTATTTAGATTTTCATTTATTTTGTTAACTTATTACCTAATTTTAGCATTAATTATAGTTCTGTAACCTATAGTATGCTTTGTTTTTCTTCATTCACAGTGTTATTTAATTACATTTTGTTTATCAGTACAGAGGGTTTCTAGAAATTGTTGAAAATCATAGTTTGTATGACGAATTGATTTAAGTTAAACAGTAAATCACTGAAAACCAGGAAGCACTGGGTTCATTACGAGAACTGAAAATTCAAGGTTTGATAACTGATTGATTTGTGGATATGCACTGTTCAAGAGACCTTAACTAAGATGAAGAAACTGTGGTCTTTTTCATAGTACTTAGGGTTATGACTTTATAAAAAAAATAGAGGGCGTTTGTTAATTCGTTATTGTTTTTATGTCCGGTTTTTTATCACGTGAATTATCCACCAATCGAAATACTTTTCCGATCTTAACACTGTGACAAATCAATGACGTTCAGCTGGTATGAGCAGTCTAGAGTCCTTATTGGTCCATTGTCCGCCTAGCCCTTCCAAATGAGTCCACAACACCAATTACAGCTTCTGCTATGCGAATCATTTATTTCAAGCATACTCTGTTTATATACCAGACAGACAAACCGCATCATACCATAAAATTGAAAATAATATTTGTACACGATCAAAACAAAATGTGACTGTGAACATGGGATACAGTAATCAATAAACTGAATATAATTTAAGGACAGTAATTCGTATAGTAATAATCCATAGGTCAAAATGAAGCTTATAATAAAATGAATATAGATATACAAAATCTAGTTACTCAATAGTTATACGATAAGAACATACATAGAATAATCGTCTATTAACAGGTCCCAGAAGTTACCCGTACTTTCATTATCACTAGGATATAAAACTTAGTTGTCTGATTATGGTAAGTTTGTGATTTAAACTTCTTTTCTTATGGAGAACAATTTGGCCGAATACGTTCGTCAAATAACTGTACCATACTACATATGTACACACATATATTTAAAAATAAACAAATAAACTTAAAATCCTTACTGTTTACTGTCAAGTATTTGATATTAACTAATGGTTTTCACTTGTATTATCTCTTTTACAATATCAAATATATTCACTAAATTTCATCCATAAAATAAGTCAGAAAAACAAATGTATTGATAGTACATGGAAATGTCAAAGGTTTCTTTCTTTATAAAAAATAACATTAATTATGATGGGAAGAAAGGAATAGATCTTCAGCTAATAGTTTTCTGAATGGATTACATCTTTTGAAGGTTACAATTTCATAGAAAAACATATAGTATAAGTGATCTTAAAAACAAAAAATTGTCAAATCTGACAGGGAAATTAAATTCAACTAAATTAGCTTGATGCTAATGTAACTAGTTGTAATTGTAAAATGAATCAAATTAAGAAAATGACATCCTATCTATAGATTTACATGTAAAATAGCTTAAAAAATCACAACGAACGAAGTATTACAACTTTGAATGAATGGTACATAACATGTTTGGTAGATAGGATTTATCTATTAGCATCGTATTTCAGTTTTTTACGCCTCTTCAATGTTCACTTGTTTTTGAAAAGTCAAAAAGACTTTTTTTAGGAATATTGTTATGTTGGCTGGACCTGGATCTTCAAATCCTGTAATTTATCATTTATTAAGACATAAGAGAAGCACTTACAAAATTTAAACTGTTCCCTTAACAAATCTTTAATTCTTTACAAAGTAGAATTGTCTCAACTTTGGAATGTATATTTGTTTGTAGTAATTCCTTGATTACAATCGTTCGGAAGATTAATTATAAGTTGGATAATAATCATGTACTTAGTGACACCAGTCATATGACAATTACTTAATGGTACATTTTAATTAAACGCTTTCACAAAATCCATAACTATCAAGACTGTAGATAATTCTCAGGAATAAATGTTGGCTTTGGTTTGCTAAAAAAAACATTAAATAAAAGTTCATGTCTAAGCACACACCACACAACACAATTGTGACTTATATCAATGATGGATGTTTTATGTTCCCTACAGTCAAAGAAGTAAACACATTGTCTAAGTCAGTGGTAATAATCAATTTTTCCTTGTTGTCTTATTTGACCTCCTTATTAATTCTGTCTGTTCGGATTTTGATAAACATATTATAAGGAATAATAGTAATTGATAAATCAGTATTTCACTAAATCTCTAATTCATTTTTTTTCATTAATGAAATTTATTATATAAAAAATACAGAACCTAAGGAAAGAACATTGTTACCCGTAAATTCCTTGAAAAATAAAGGGCTACATACACTCAGCGAGGTTGTGAAGTTTGCATCTTAGGGAATTAAAAAATCATAACTCCTCATTTTGAAAGGCCTCAACAACAACGATTCAAGTTCTTTACTTTCGAAATTAGTAGTAATTACCTTTAACCTTGTAGGTAAAAAAAATCGAAGTGCAATTAGTGTTCTGTTCTGACCGTAGATGATACCATAAATAATATTCCAGTCTGCACATCATTGTGAGATCGTCTAGCTATATTCACTAGAATAATTATTGTTTGATGTCGGTTAGATATTGGTAGTTATGCACGACAAATTGTAACGTCAAGTTGTGGTGGAGTTTAATTCAAACGACATCTAAGTTGTGTGATAGGGTCTGCCATTGAAAAGGTGAGACTTGATTAAACTAAGTAAACATTGAGGTTGTACCCTGATATATTTTGTTGATGTGACGCTTCACATTTAGATTCAGCGAAAGTTTGTGACAAGATAAAATGAGTGGGTAAAATACACCCAGCAATATAAACAGAAGTGGTTCGGCCGTTTAAAATTCCCCAAAGAATATTCAAAACAAAGAATATTTGAGCGGAAAATTGTTTTCAGTAGCTTCATCGTTAGACTCTAATATATATCTCATTTTAGCCTTTACAAAATATCACAATAATTATGAACTTATAACTGTAGAGCCTGATGATGAAGTTATTGAAAACAATTGTTTGCTCAAACATTCTTTGTGTTAGAAGCGACTAACATTATTTTTCTACGGAAGGAGCTTACTACGATTTTCATGAATGGTACTATAGCACTTGCAGTGAAGCTACGTTACTTTTATCAAAGAAACACTAAAGCTTAGGAAGCTTCTAACTCATGTTTGAAAATCGACATACTTATAAACACAAGAACTTTGTTATTGTGGATTTTTTAGATCACAACCAATAAACGGCGTTGTAGTTTGAAAAGAGGTATATACATCAACTGTAGATGCATATAGTCTTACAAAATGGTTGGTAGAAATCCCATTCATCCTATAGGCAGTATACATCCAGAGATCCATAAATATAACTAAGCAGATTCCGTCATATGAAAATATAACGAGATATTTGACAGGACTAAATATAGGAAAAAATTTACAAACAGTAATACTCATTGCAGATATAGATTGACAGATGTCAACAAGAACTAATTATTTTACGACAGAAATAATTTTTAGTAAAATCTAAGAAACGATTGCACTTTCAAACTACTTAGTTCTATATTTATCACAAACTTAAGTCGTTTTCATTTCTTAAACACTTGAAAACCTACTGCAAACACTTGTAGATAGATTTTCACTTCATTTTTCTAGTTAATTTCAGCATAAAAAATTAAAATTCAGATATTGAAGACATTTATACTGAATAGTATAGTTCTATAAAAAAAGGTTTTACAGGATTTTCCTACTTAGTCGATATGATAACAGTAGAAATCTTTATGGACTTTTGGTTGCGATAAATTCGATGTTGGAAATTTGAATCTTTCTAATTTGCCTACTTACAAGTAGTTAAATAAACTTCGAAAGCTTTAGTAAAACAAAAAGAATTGTATGGCTGAAAAATTTTAGAAACCAATCAGACTGATGGAAGATCATTTAAACCAAGAAATCTTGATAAATAAGATGTATACTGGTATTCCGTGTAAAATTAGTTAAACTATTCAAATTGAATATAAGTAATAAATTCTGTTTGTCCATGATTACAAGGATACAATTTATAAATAATGGTTAGATGAATAACTAAATGGTCAATAAGAATTCACTGTAATAATGTGGAAATATATTCTAATTTCATATTGCTTTAGTTATTTCCTAGGTCACCGAAATGATTTTCTGGGTCATATGCTGAAAAAGAAAGGTAGAAGGAAGTTGAAATCAATACAATAAATTAAAAAATAATTAGAAATTTAAAAAGTTATTATGTTGTAATGGATTATGAAACGTTTTCCAAATTAAATATTATACTCAGATGAATAAAATAATCATGAGAAACCTTTTGGGAGTAAACTTATTTAAAACTAGGTACTTTCACTTACCCTAAAGTGGTTGTTCATTTTAAATGGTATTTATGAGGTCGACTTAACCGATTATTTGATCAATAGATTAATATAGCTTTAGTATGTATGAATATATTAACAAAAATGAAACCGATCAGGAAATGTGTATGAGAATTGGTATGACAAAGTACAAAATATCAATTTTAAAAAAAGTACTTTATCCCAATTATAAACATAGATTTTGCAATTATTTGAATTACATTTCGTTACTAAGATATAGTCAACGTAGGATTTCATATAATTGGGCATCAAGGTAAAACTCTATTCGAAACGAAGTCAACAGGATGGGTAGCAGAAAAATCGAATGAATGGTAGAATGAATGATAGTAAGAAAGACTAAATATGGTAAACGTGGTTGAAATATAAAGAGAGAAACAGAAGAATAACATTATAAAGTTATCTTGAATGAGTCCAATCGGTCAACAGTGATTTCCAATCAAGGTGCCTAAGGTATCCAGCCATTGAACACGGCCTAATCAAGTAGTTTGTACCTAATAACTAAACACAAACAAATAATTTGATCACCCCTAACATATTCCCAATCTACTTATACTCCAAAAATATTTGCGCATGGACGCACACTTTGGTTCATCATATAAAACATGTTTATTCTAGTCATCTCAGCACATGGTGAATCCCATCACAAACATTACCAACTAAAGGAGTTAGTTGTGTTTAGGGTTAGTCAAAAAGTATATATAATATGCTGTTTCTGTAAACATTTGATACAGTTTTACGATAAACTAAAGTGAGTTGAAGAACCATAAAAAACCTATGAACACTAAACAGTTTTTTTAGTGGTGAGAATATTTCATCAGCAAACACTCAGCAAACTAAATTATTGAACCCAAGCCTTTAGGTCTAGCTTGGAGGCCTGGACTTTAAATTTGATAATTCACACATTTAACTTAACTAAGTTTGTAAAATAAAGTGTAAGTCCCGTCCGTCATCCTTGAGATACTATTGGATTTTTGATTTGGTTAACCCTATAAGTAATTTTCAGTACGGAGTTTTGAAGATAGTTGGAATTTATTAAGATCATGAAACGAACAATGTTAGACCACCATTGAAAACCTGGAAGTACTGAACAGCTCTTTCGTCCTAGTGCGGGACTCCTCAACAATGCGCATTCACGATTCCACGCGCGACACTTGAGCCTAAGACCTTCTGTATCGAGCAAACACTAAACCTCTAGACCACTGAGTCGATATCCGACGGTGTCATTGTCTAACTTCATCCAATCCACGATATTGCAAGACCAGTTTCCACTGTTTTCAGTGAGTAACTGCCTCACATCTGACACTATTGAACTCCACTGATCACGGCATCTCACTAAAACTCCGAGAATTACCTCTCGCTTAACATTTATAAGTAATAGCTAGTTGGAAGAAGCCTTACCCCACATTAAAAATAAAATAGTGATGCGAATATAATTTGAAGATGATTGTCAGCTTTTATAAACAGAATCATTCATTCTATTAGTATGCAAATCCTCGCAGATTATCACTGACTTGTAAATGTTAGCTGAATAAGTTAGCACGTTAGACAATATTTGCAAGTTAAATTGCTTTTTGTGGTCGTAAATCTGACTTCAATCAAATAGTATGAATGATTGTTATTAAATGATCGCTAACGAAATATATATGTCACCAATCCTCGTATATAATTATCGACTTAAACCGCGTTAGTGAATAATGGAATTAAATAAGCCAAATACGAGAATGGATTCTTGAATACGTATATATTGTACACTCATTGATCTGGACAGACAATCAGAGGGACAAAGCAAAACGATGCGCAGTGGAGAAGGCATGTGAGCCAATTCCGTTTAATCGAGCGTTAACCGATATTTATAGTCACACAAAAATAAGTTAAAGACATTTGATGAATGGGATAAGAAGTGCACACAAATACTCTCATATAAAAACAGTGAAGATTGATAAGCGAATAATCAATAAGGTCAAAATGTGACTGAAGAAGGATCAATAAATTGGCTTGTCCTAAAGCTAGAATAAGCTATGTGAGTTTAAAATAACAACCGACACTACAGCTTCTGGACAGAAGAGTAAACTGACTACATCATGAACTTACTTACTTAATTACGCCTGTTACTCCCAATGGAGCATAGGCCGCGGACCAGCTTTCTCCAACCCACGCTGTCCTGGGCCTTATTTTTTAGTTCTATCTAATTGTTGTTCATTCTTCTCATGTCTGTCTCCATTTCTCGGCGTAATGTGTTCTTTGGTCTTCCTCTTTCCCTTTGACCTTCAGGCTTCCAAGTGAGGGCTTGCCTTGTGACGCAGTCGGGTGGTTTCCTCAATGTGTGTCCTATCCATTTCAAGCACTTCTTCCTGATTTCTTCCTCCGCTGGAATATGGTTTGTTCTCTCTCATAGTAGCTTGTTGCTGACAGTGTCTGGCCAACGGATCCGATGTATCTTGCTTAGATAACTGTTAGTATACACTTGTACCTTCTGGATGATGGCTTTCGTAGTTTTCCACTTCTCCGCCCCATACAGTAGAACTGTCTTGACATTTGTATTGAAAATTCTAACCTTGGTGTTGGCTGACAATTGTTTTGAGTTCCAGATGTTATTCAGTTGCAAATATGCTGCTCTCGCTTTGCCGATCCGCGCCTTCACATCTGCATCAGATCTATCGTGTTTATCGATGATGCTGCCCAGATATGTAAAGGTTTTCACATCCTTCAAAGCTTCTCCGTCAAGTGTAATTCGATTGGTGCATGCTGTATTGTATCGGAGTTTTGCTTTTCCCTTTGTTTATATTGAGACCTACTGCTGCTGAGGCTGTTGCTACACTGGTCGTCTTCTTCTGCATCATGAACACCTATGAAATATTCTCTTAAACGTAAACGAGCTTGATTTGTAAATAATTTAATAAAAATATGTCTTCTAGACTATTTGTACCCATTAAATCTTCGTTACTTTTGAGAAATTATCCGAAACTATTGTCCAAAGCTCAAGCGATACAGTGTAAAAAGATATCTATACAGTACACTCACATACCCAAGATGTCGAAATGCAAATATACTCAATTGACATTGCTTCATGAATTAAAGTACTTACAACTATATATATATATACTGCCTAATTTTTGTTACGTTGAAAAATTAGCTTGTAATTAGAATTAGGTGACTTACGTTCTACAGAAGCCTTTGTCATAGATTTTTTATAATTTGTTTTCATATCATCTGTTTCATGACATTTTTCAATTATTTCATCTAAATTTAAACCAGCATTTTGAAAAGATGCATCGAATTTCGCTTCAGCACGTTTACGTACAACAATTTGACTTTGTCTTGTTAACAACAATGGTTTAGATGCGACACGTTGTTGAATCGCATTCAATTCACGCTGATATTCTGCTTGACGATTTAAATCATTTTGACTAATATAAACAGAATTTACATAGATGATATCAAATAAATAATAGGCCTCAATAATTTCAGAATAAGATATTAGTGAGTTGAGAATAAAAAGTATGAGTAAAGTCCCTTGAACAAAATTGGTATTGTAATGCACAAATTATCAAATGAAACTGGATTTCGTTTCCTGAGATTTTTTCAGACTATTTTATTTGTGAATTTTCAATACTCTTCTGTTTACAATAAAATCGTTTGCCAGTATTAACTATTTTCTAATTATTTCTGAAAATACTGGGCGTTATGATTGTAAAAAAGGCACCGTTAGGAAGAAACGCAAATAAAATAAAACTTTGGTACTTATTGTTTAAGCAAATGGTTTATATAATTTACTTTTGAATGCTTCGAAAAATTTAGAAATCCTTAATATATGAGGTCTGAAGAGTTTGTTGAATTTCATAGTTTACATCATGGACAAATTTTAGTTAGACAATGGTTAAAAAACAAGAAACACTGGACAGTTGTTTCGTCTCGGTATGCCACACTTCAGTAGTTCACATTCAATAAACTGTTATATCTAGAGCTTAGATTCTTAATATACCGCGTATGACTTGAGCACACAAACGCTAGAACCCTTCAAGTTGCAAATAAGAAGACAGAAGAAGATTAGAGGAAAGAGCTTGTTGGGCAAGAATCAAAACGTACAGAAAATCATGGGCATTTATAGATATTAGCGTTTGTTAAATGAACATTATAATCCAACCAATCCGCGAAGAGGCATGTTGTACTACTGAGCAAGAGTAGCATGCCATGTTGATATTCTAGAAAGCTCAACTGAGTTATGATTGGATGGAACTCTTAGGCTCTTCTAGGGCCCCTGGAGGATCCGTCGTAGTTCTCGCAAGCCATTCCTACACAAACTGCTACAGATCAAACACGTATGACCTTCAGGTCTCGTTGCAAATATTTAACCTGGAGACTACTCAGCCAATGGTTTGCATTTCTATCTCCAATCAATTTGAGATAATGTGAAACCAACTCCTGATGCCGTCGATAGATAACTGTCCCACATGCAACATGGTTGAACTTCATTAGTTATATCTCACTGTAAGTCCAAAAATTAAGTCTCAAAATTAGTTACTAATGAGCATATGATTATTATTAGGGGTATGTCAAAATTGTTACATTCCCTAGTTTACATCATGAACTGCTGAAGAATTTCATACTAGGATAATGCAGCTGTTTGGTTCTTCCTCGTTTTTAATGGTTGTCTAACTAATATCACTTAGTAATATAAACTATGAAATTTATGAATTATTCAGTCAAAAGTTCTATCGCTTAATTATTTCATCAATACTTTAATTTGGTTTCTAATATCATCTGACAAAATAAATAATATGCTATAATAGAATAAAATATATTTGTTTGTATTTAAACACTCACATTAACTGACGTTTACGCTCTTCAGTAATAGAATTGATAAGTTGTTTAGGTGATATGATTTGTCCGCCTAATGTTTCTTTCATCGTATGGGACACTTCTTTCTGTTTTATTCTCTTTAAATATTCTGTTTCTTCTTTCTTTTTTGCATCTAAATCTGCTTTAGCGAGTGAATTTCTAAATGCAACGAAATAAAACAATAAATAGTTACAGTAATAATAATAATAACGGGTTGGCTCTACTGAAGTTATTTAAATCGACAATGAAATCTTCGTCACTATTAATGATGAAAAGAAAATAATTAACAACTATTACCTTCTACCTGAATAAATATTATCAAACTTTTTTGAAGGGAGAAGGGTTTATAAAGTGTCTATGCTTCAAATGGTTTAAAGTTAACGAAGGCATTTAACAAAACACTTCAGACCTTTTCATAATAACAAGTTTTCAATGAGGGACTATGGTCTAAAAAATGTCTCTTCTAAATAAACAGTTTCGTCATTCTATTTGTCACTAAGAGTCGGTATTTTTAGTACACAGAACTGGTATATGGGATTGTTTTCGAATTCATAAAATCTTGTCTTACAGAATAGGTTAAGAAGCTGAAATTTTTTTAGACAAAATTATATTTGAAAATAGCATCCTTCAAGGGTTAACATAAGTAATCATCGATCACAAAGTCATTTGGGTCTCGAGTAAGTAGAATTAAAGCGTTCCAAAGTCAGACGAAACAGCTATCCAATGTTCCATACTTTCAGGTTTTTATTTATTTGATATCGGTCCATGACGAACACTATCCTCAAATTAAACTTGTCCTCACAAAACATCAACGATAATCCCAAATTGTTTATACAGACTGATGTGACGACTTTATTAAGCCTACCAAAGAAAAATAAGAGGTACTTAAACCTACCTAATGTAATTTTCACGAAGAAAAGTTGATCTTGATAAAGCGGGTGGTAGTGAAGAATCTAAAACTAATCACAATCAATGAAATAAAAGCACTTAAAAAAGTGGACAAAAACACATTTTAAATAATTAGTAAATCATTACTTCATGTGACTTATATGAAAACTAAGACCACCTAAGTAAATCAGTGAAAAAACTTATTTATTGAAATCACTCGACAAAAATTACTACATTATATTCCAAGTGATGTTACACATAAATAAATTTCTCCTATTTTATAATCATTAATTAAATAGTAGTAGGTTGTTACAAATTATAATAAATTATTTTAATGATTCTGTGAATTCCAATCATGTAGCTATTATAGTATGAAGCGTACGAATGAACATTTACGATGGAGATTTCTGAACGTTATTAAAATCATGAAACAACCCAAGTAAGACAATCACTTAAAAACAGAAACCATTGGATAGTTGTTTCGTCTTTGTATGCCACTCTTCAGTAGTTCACATTCACCAAACTACCACAGATCAAACATATATGACCTTCAGGTCTCGTTGCGAATTTGAAATATTGCGAAACCAACTCCTAATGCTATTTATAGATAACTGTCCCACATGCAACATGGTTGAACTTTATTGGTCACAACTAACCAGAACTAGGAAGATTATCGTAAGAAATTAGTCAATGTATATATATATAACTACTGAGTGTTATTTACTTCCAACTTCGACATCGAGGTCACTGAGGCCACAATGATAATGTAACCTAACAATTTATTCTAATACCAGAGTTAATCGTTAGCCTGACACGATTTAATTTTGTTGCTTCATTTTATCATTATTTAGACTGTTTTTGATCTAATAATTTTTTAATCACAAGGATTTTAGAGTATTTTTTCTACATTCCCTTACAAGATTATTTTATTTGATATTCTACGAACCGACATTTCGGTCCGTAATCATAACAGGTGCTTATTCCATTTTTTAATAAATTCGTTGTCCTGTTATCAATAATTTATTACCTGGTTGTTTCACAATTGACTGAGAAGTATTCTCTTCCATCTTTTTCACTTTACTTATTTCTGATGAACGACGATCAACTGAATTAGCACGTTCACTTGTTCGTAATTTAAATGATTTTGGTCTAGTTGGCTCTGGCGGTGGCTTCCATAAACGTCGAAGTGTTTTATTAGATTTCCAGTGTAACTGTTTAAAGTCTGGAGCTGGGTGATAATAATGATATTGTTTTTGTACTGTTTCTGGATTATCTAAACCAAGAACAGCTGAAAAGAAAGTTGAAATTTACAAAGTTTACAGGTTTGTTTTCAGAACTATTGTAAGAAATCTCGATCAACAAAATTAACACTTTTTAATGTTCCTTACTTGACAAGCAGATATCACTCGTTTGCTTTACAAATGATACAAATCTACTATAAACTAACGATATATAGCAACAACATTTAAGCAGTGCTAAATTTTTACATTCAGTATGGAGGAAAAAAACCGTTCTTTTAGAAGGAAACCTTTATTATCCTTACAAAAAACGATATTATTTCACAGATTTCTCGTACACTTTGCCTCTTATTGACAGTGAAAAACAAAACAAAACTACATAATAAGAGACAAAACAGTTAATTAACTAAAAAGTTCTGACTATTGTGAGAAGTATGGATTCGCACTCTATGGTACAAATTCATTTCTTAACAGTAAGAGTTTGAATTGTAAAACAAAACACATTGTTTCTAGAATATTCCCAGAAATTCCCTTCTTTTTTGCAGTTTACTCATAAAATATAGAATATCAATATAGATTAGTCAAGATTTAATACTATTTCTATCCTTGGTTATTTTTATTTGTTTAATAACAAGTAAATTAAAGTTATACCCGTTCTCGTTGAAAATTAAGTACAGAAAAAATATTTCTACTTCCTCGAAAAAGTTGACTAATGGTTCTGCTTTTTAACGCTTAGTCAGTTGTGATTTCCAGATCGGGTCGGTGAGCAAATCATAAGATCGGCCATCTCTGTCATTGCAGAGTTTTATCATATCAATCGAACCATTCTAAAAATTCTTTTCCACGATACCAATAAATGAAAATCCAGTTATTTTGTTATATCCGGATAAGAATAACGAATGGTAACTTTTGGGATCTATTTATGAACAAATACTATGCGTATATTTTTGTCGTATAGTTGTTAAATAGCTAAACTATTTATATTTATGTCCCTCTTATTATGAGCTTTATTTTGACCCAGGAACTTTTATTATACGATTTACCATTGTTGAGTTATGCGCTATGTATCATTTACTATGTCCCTTATTCACAGCCACATTTGGCTAAATCTTGTACAAATGTTGTTTCCTTTTTTGGTACGATGTGATCTGTCTGGTGGGTATATAAACCCGGTACGTTTAAAATAAATGATTCGTATCGCAGACGCTGGGATTGGTGTTCTGGACTTAACTGGCTGGGCTAGGTAGAAAGCAGGACCGATAAGTATTCTAGACTGCTCGCATGGGTTTTATGTGTCATTGGTCCGACCGATAAAACACTGCTCTCTAATTGGCGGTATTATCATGTTACACATTAACAGGGCACACAGGCTACAAGTTATAACATATTTAATTAACAATGAAGCATTTATCGACATCATCGGACAGCGTAACTTATTGATTGACATCATAGCAGCTTCAGAAAGGCAAAAATTATAAGCTTTATAGAAGAGATTTTGACAAAATCCCATTGAAATTAGTATGACAGTAAAAACCACTTGGACGATCAAAATACCAAGTATAAAAGAATCTAAGTAATAAAAATTCTCTGATCGCACTACTTAGGAGAAAGAATTTCCACGTGCAGTTGAACCTGTCTGTTAAAACAACTATTGTATTTACTTGAAATAACCAAGGTGATTATTTAACTGACAAGTTATTCTGATATGCATTGTAAAAAATCCTTTTTTGTGTAAATGGTAACTAATATGATGGAGAGCCACATACTGAAAAGTAAATCTCATGGACTTACTAATCCGATTAAGTCTTTTGTCTCTAGCCTTTCTTTCTTGCTTTCTCATATTCATACGATGTTGTCGCTCCTCCATACCCGGTGGTAAAGAAGCTGACTGTAGTAGTCTTTGAGCACGTAAATGACGTTTAATTTGTTTTAACAGTAAATCCTCTTGCATACGTTCAAATCTTTTTTCATATAACTGTGATGGTAAGTTTAAAGGATCTGAAGGTCCATCATCTTTAGAATGTAAAAGTTTTTTGTCAGTGCCGAAGTTCATATTTTGCTGAATCTTTTCCCGACTGAAGCTAAAATAGAAAGTAAGATTTTTGGTTGACAGAGTGTTTAAGTTATTTTTATGGCAGTTTATTTACTTGAAACGTGAGTTTTCCTTTCACTACTGTTAACAAGTATTCACTCAACAAAATGTTACTTGACATAATCCTCGAAATTTAACAACTTTACAGAAACAGTAACAATAATCTAACTACAGAATATGCAAAAATAATAGGGTATGTGACGAAAAATATTAATTCATTGTTTATGAAAGAAAAATATACGCTATTGATACTGCATTCTCTAAGTTGAGTCTTTTAATAATCCACCCACCACTTTTCTGTCAGGAAAACATCACCATCCCAAATTCTAAAAAACTTAATGAGCAAATTATTTAGTAAATTGATTAGGAGTGGTGTAGTGATTTCGAATTTATTTATTCAATCATCATTTAACAAGGGTTTATTCCAGAGAACTTTCTTACAAAATGTGTCTTTTAACTTCACAGTTTTCCTAATTTCTTCTCCATCTTGATTATTGACTAGATTTATGTTAACAAATATGCTAAATATGGCTTAAGTAAATTCTTGACAATTCCGAAAAGTTTCTGCGGCTCATATAGCTTACTTTTGATCGTGCGAGAATATGATTTAACCTATGTTTGCTACAATTTTAATAACATTTGGGGAAACACTTAAAAATATACAACTACTAGTAAGGCTCGGTTAATTTTTACCTTAATCTCTGTCAAGACTGCTAGTCGTATAAGCTAAGCTCCATTGTGTATCGTAGCTATTTACACAAATTTAGTCTTAAGGTTTGCCAACGAATTTTCAGGAGTAACGACACACCCTACCTATTTGTTTACGGATGATAATCAAGAAAAGTTCTGCATAAGATGAACTGGGAATTATGAAGATCCAGCATGAAAAATAGATTACGCTAATGTAATGATAATGGTGTCTTATTCCAACAAACCATCGATGATAATGTTTTATATATGAACGAGATCAAAAGAGTGTATGTTCTTGCTGTTATTTAGAAAAATAATTCGAATCCTAGTAATGCTATCACTAACTTTATTTTTAGTTGATAATTAGCATCATCTTTATAGTATGATGCTGAGAGTCGAATTGAACTAACGTGTTCCAACCCTAGAAAGTTAGCCTCCATCCCTCATTACAATGCCATGAACCGTTTTTATGTTCAACTCAAATGTGAGCAAATACTCCTCAATGTAGAAATTGCTGAAGAGTAATACACCTAAATTACTCAAGCTATCGGACTCTGTTTCAAGATTTTATTACAACTGAATAATGGTCGTGGATATTCATAAACAGATGTCTGTGGACCCGGGTATCAGTTACATACCGCTAATTTCGGACCCAAGCAATACCAAAGGGACACATTGTTTCTTTTATATACTTAAAGCTTCAGTAACCAGGTTTCTTGAATTTTATCTATTCATGTTTCAAATCATGTTTATAAAATTATGTATATAAACAATAACATAGAAAAATGTCAATCGGAGCAGCTTTACGCCAACTAATTGTATTAGATATTGATTCAAAACTGCCCAGACTTTTAATATTTTATTTTTAAAACCTTTAAGAACCAACATGATACACAAACTCTGATTTAAAACACATGTGACATCATATTACATAAAAGATCGAGGATTTTACATAAATGAAGGCGTGATTTACTCACTCGTTTCGCTCTTTATTAAGGTTCTCACGAATGGTAAAGTTAAATGGTTTTTCTATTGATTTCAAGATTTCTTTGCGATACGCCCTGACAGCTTCACGTCTAAGAGCATTATCTTCCATTAATTTCTCATATAATGGCAAATACACATGTGAAGGCACTGGTTTAGCTTTAAATTGTCTACCAAAGTGTACATTAGCATCATCCTGAACAGTTGCAGGCTGTGAACACCTGTTTTCATTTTGTAGATTTTTGATACGTTTTAAAGATTCCTCTCGTTTTGTCATTTCAAAGGGTTCCGGTACAGTAATGTGGTGCCGCCAAGATGTGACTGATGGACTAGACTCACGAACAAATGTTTTACTGTGATGGTTGTCAGTGTTTGTTCTATTTTCATCAATTTCTGCCACGAAATAAATTAAAGATAGATTTAGAGCAAGAAAGACATAAGAGGATTATTCAATATGTAGTGTTGCAAAATACGGTCAATGAAATACGAACCTCTAACTGGTTTTGAAGTAATAAAACCAAAATCTGAATCTTTCAATATAATTTCGAGTTCGGCAGATATTCAGGGCAATTTTTTGATTAAAATATGTATGTCAAGCATGCAAAATACTTCGAAATATTATTTCAAGCTTTGGTATAATGTTTCGGTGATCGCGATACTGGAAAGGTAGTTTGACACGACGGAAATTCTGTTGCCTGCCTGTTTTGATAAAAATGACTGATTATTATGTAGCAGTAGATAAATATTTGAGTGAGTCACACTCTTCATTATTCAAAACGTAAGTAAACACAACACTACTCTTTATAGTAATGATAGGTCCCTAACTTGCACTGGTCTAAAATCAAACTTCACCATACGGACTATACAGATAAACAGTTAAAGATCTTTTGTGGTTAAGATGTGCGGTATCGCTGTATAGAAAACCTAGATACAACCGATTTGTATCTGATTTAACTTCAGAACAATTACTTTAGGATCAACTTACTATAAAGCTAAAAACGTTTAGCATGTATAACTTGTATTTACTTATAACTATGGTGTTGTTTCAACATGAAGTCGTCTGTAGAATCAGCCTCACGTCTTATTTTGATTGCTTTGAGAAATAATGTAACATACTTAGTCGATTTTTTCTGAATTCAGATACATAAACCTTTTTGAGTGAATAATTTACATCTCTTAAAATAGTAGAGGCAAACCTAAAACTAATTTTAATAAAATGGTGGTCTGGTAGACCTCGAACTATGTTTCGCTTCCGACGCCATGCACCACAAATGTGTTAAGTTAATAGATACACTATTATTTTAGGTTCAGTTTGTTTAAACACGATAAATATATCTGTATTGACAGTACATGACCAACTTTACAGAAAAATTTAAAACACTAAATACGACGTCACTATTGAAAAATATACCGAATTCAAAAGCTTACTGACCGCAATAAGAATCAGAAGTGGTTCATTTCCGCTAATTCATACAACATAACTACCGTCAAACAGTCTCAGGAAGAACACTTTGTGCGAATAGGTAATAATTACATAAAATATAGTGTGCACAACATATCATACTCACTGGTTTTTGAACATCCACATTCTTCGCTGTGTGTCTCCGAAAGATTGCATTCTTTAGCTTTCGAATACTCATAATTATTTTCAATATGTTGAGATTCAGGTTCTTCGTGTTGTAAATGTGTACTTTGATTGCAGCCGCAATATACACTTTCAAAGCTATTTAACTGACTTGGCACTAAGAATGAGGTAAGTTGTACCTACTTGTTCGTAAAATTCTTTGAAACCTCTATTTCATCAAGTTCTTCCGAAAAATTACAGTCGTTTTGTTCTATATCAGATTTGCCAGAACCTAAGTAAAGTCGCTCAATTATATCAACAGTATCTCTTTGCTCATTTTTTAGTTTCATAAGTTCTGTGTAAAACTCCTCGTCGCTCATATTTCCATCCGAAAGAAGTTTGATTCTCATTTGGGTCTTGTTTAAGAGACTGTCCAGATATGATGCTGTTTTTGTCAGGTCTCCATTTGTCATGGAAAGTAAATCAGCGAGTATGCATTTTGCATTACTACTCAGCTCTCTGAATGTTGTGCTTTCTCGAACAAAGCCATCGACTACAGATATGTTATAACGCGACAAACTTTTCGACATTATAAAACATTTAATATGCCGCCAGGGATAAACAAACTCGTAGAGAGCGCTACAGGAACAGATACATACTAACTAATTAAAAGCAATGTAAATTCAGTAAGCAATAAAAAAGATCATTTGCACGGAAACTCGTGGATCTTGTCACCTTCATAGTTCTCAAACACCTAATTATTTTTCTAATTTGCTGTGTCGCCAAATTCATCATGAAACACACAATCTCAGGATAAATTTCTTTCTTGTGGATACCGATTATGTTTCAGGATGTCCTAGGTTGTGGAAAAAAACTTTGTTGTTAGGCGTGGAAATATACAAGCTGTTACCCTCATTCCACAGATGTTCCAACGAATTAAAGATGTCACATGTATTCAGAGTTTGACAACGCCATTACACGTAACAAGTTTGTAATCGAAGTATACCAACCAAGGTAGTCATCATAAGTCAGAAATGAAGATGTCAGATGATGTATTCGGAAAGCCATCGATATGTTAAAAAGTGTTTTATCAGAGCTAGCCGGTAGTCGCAAATGATACGTAGCACGGCGTACCCACTCGTGATCAGGGACGGATATGTGACCGAGCTCATCCAGCTAGGTTAGTCCAGTAAGAATAATGCAGTCAGCACCAAATGTCGAAGACTTTGAAAACTGTTTATTTTGAGGATTCTTCTGCCGCTACAGAATATGACATGAGTTACTAATGTCTGAATTCGACTGCTGATAGCTCTAACATACGTAAATGCAGAAAGTCAAAGTTACTTTCAGAAATCACAAAACAGACCCTCCAATAATTTGGATAACTAAAGGGAAATCACAAAAGCATGCTAGTTGCTAGTCTTAGAAACACTCACGCAAAAGGCTCGAAAACTTCAGCGTTGGAAGTTATCATAGTGGTCAAATTGGTGTGCAGAATATCCCTCAGTACAATAATTTGACACAGTTGTAGTGAATTACTCATGTGTAACAAAAAGTTACCTAATAGTGATGAAAATCAGCTCTCCATCTTAAAGTGCCTTTATTCGGCTCTACACTTTTAGGTTCACCACAGAAGGCCCTCCCTAAACAAACGATATCCGTAATTGGATTATTATATTCAACTCTATTCTTTATCACCTTAGCTGTGGTCTGAATTTTATTTGGATGTGGCTGTCACATTCTTTTGGATTACCTACGAACTTTTATCCACACAGACACTTGTCCATGTCGAGAATTCTGTTCAATAAAAAAAATTGGAAAGTCCACCTCATGATACTATTGATGAATAAAATGTCACTGCAGACTAATTCGCCCCACTTCGGATAACAGAGGCCTTCAAATGTAGCCTGTTAATATCAGCTTCCTCCACAGCCATTACCAATATGCGACTTTCTGTCCCCTCTATGTCTATCAACCATAGACTCATCTTATAAAAATAATAACAATAATAGTACATATTCTGGAAAGCTCTTCAGTTATCATCTCACTTTGTAGGCACGCCTATGTTGGTATGACAATCCTTTAAACATCCAATTGTTGCTAAGTAACTTGGACACAACTTTTAATTTGGATTTCATCGAACGAATCATCCTACATATCAGAAATTATAGTGCGATTACTAAAGCCGTATGGAATAGGTGTAGTGCATAAACTAGCAAAATTAATTCGGTCGCACCGCCAAAACCTTTGCCTGGTGTTAGCGCAGGGCTCACTGATGTTGGAACCAGGTCTTTGTAGGTGTTAGTGCACTTATCTGTGGTGTTAGAATAATAGACTTAATATAATGTTGTGGAATTTCCATGATATAACCACTTAATTCATAGGATCTTGTATAAGAGATAAATCGCTGACCCTACTAACTCGTCATATCCTGACACTCAGTATCATGCTTTTCATTAACATTTGAAGAATAAAATAATACATTTGTGTAACATTAGCAACAAGGTAAGATAGAAACGACCTTCGATTTGAAATCATTGATTGATTGGTTGGATTAATACTTCTAAGTGGGCGATTGCTGTAAGTCAAAAGCTAATTGAGCCGACAATACACACCCATCTCATCGGGAGATTCACTCTAATTGCAATTCCAGTCAACTGATCGATACACTCGTCACATTTTTGGCGAGCCTGTAAGAAAATGCCTTGGAATCTCAGTATATCTAGAACGAAAAAACGAATTCAGACGCAGAATTTATATCTAATTCCAAAGCAAAAGACTCTGATACTGAAGAAAAAAACTATGTGAAACAGTATCAGTGCTAAAAGATAACCAGTCAATTGAACCACAAATCCACAAAAGATTTCTTCCAGACAGAACGTTTTCTGTGTCGGAGTTAGAACGTACTGACATACTTGCTTACTAGGCACTCTACTTTCTAGAGAGGCGTTAAAAGAGCAAAGACTATCGAGCATTAAGGTTCTACAGACAAAGTTTATAAATAGTCTTATTTTTTCCTAAAATGCAAACAGTAATCGTGCCTTCAAAGCATCTTGTTTTGTAAGGAGAAGTTTCATTATATTCAGCAAAATGAAGGAGGGAAGTCAGCTGTCTTCATATGACATCTTCAAGAACTGAAAACAGCAGCATTCTCAAAATATTCAATGACAAAACTCGAAAGGATTGTTTATCGAGGGAGTTAACTTAAAAATACGGCAAAAGAAGTTTATGAAACAAGTTCCTGAATGCTCAACAGCTGCTCGTGAGGGAATGGTTTTGGGAGAACAAATATCTGTGGTTGCAACAGTTGAACTGTCAAAGTAGTGAAAAAAACTTGCCCGTGAAATGTCTAGAAAGCTAACTTCCTCCCAAGAAGTACTTGATGGTTATACTGAAAATTCAACAACGAGCATGCTAGATGGTGTAAGAATAACTCAAGGTCAGGTACGTTATATGTTCCATAAATTTCGTGTGGCGACTATGAAGCCGTCGCCCCAACACTGTGTGAAGAGTTATTTGATCGTCCAATCAACACTCTGCTTAATTCGGATGCAGCATATGCATTATTCAACAATGCTCTTGTTCCTAATGATATGCTCCTGTATGAAACCCATAATGTACATCTGAACGCGGCCAACGGCATTTCGATGGGTGTTAGAGACAAAATAACGCTACGACAGGCCGTTAATAAATGGACTTTCATATATGATACTTTTGTTGTTCAGGACCTATCTCGGGATGTTATTTTAGGTACAGACTTGTTAACTAAGTGTCAGGGGTGTCAGAACGTGAAGAAAAAAGGTATTTGCCGCCCGAAATTCAGTTTTGAAACTGGGTAGTTACAATAGAAAAGACACTCAGTTTTAGAATAATGAATAATGCTAGTCACATGAAGACAAATCATAACCTTTACTGGCTAACTTCCCTCTGGAACATGTAGGATTAATAAAAGGAACGTTAAAAAGGCTTTATGACGTATTTGCTTGAGAATCAAAAGATATCGGTTCCATGGTTCATCACATCGATACTAGGAATGCAAAACCATATAGTCAACCTCCTCGTCGTGTACCTACACAGTTTAAAGAAGCTCTTAACAATACGGTACAAGATATGTTAGCTTGTAATATAATTATGCCGTCCACATCAACTTGGGAAGCACCAATTGTCCTAGTAAAAACGAAAACTCGGTGAGGTCACGAAACGTGATTCATTTCCGTTGCCACGAATAGACGATACTTTAGATGCGCTGGCCTGTTCAAAGTGGTTTTTAACACTAGATTTGGAATCTGGCTATTGGCAAGTTTACGTACATCTAGATGATCAATACAATACGGCTTTTATATGAATTCCAAGCAATACAATTTTTACTAACTAGTGTGCCTTCTATTTCCCAACGATTAATGCATACAACATTGCCTGAGTTACTTCCACATGCGTGTTTCGTGTATCTTGATGATCTTATGATACATAGGTCAATTGTTCGAAGACATTTAGGAAATTCGCAGATAGTTTTGGAACGCCTCTCAGAAATTTGGTTCAAAAGTGCAACCACTAAAACATTTTTCTCTTGAGGAAGCAGGTTAACTTTTCAGGTGATAACGTCGATGATCAAGGAATACACTAAAATAACGAAAACGTCGGTGTCATGTGGAACTGGGTCGTTCCACAATATGCTAATGAACTTCGCAGCTTCTTAGGGTTAGCAACTTATTGTAGAAGGTTTATCTAAGTATTTTCAAAGGTTGCAGCTCCTCTTTATACTTTGCTGGGAAAGGACGTTGACGTTGAATAGACTAATAAGTGCTAAAAATCTTTCGACCGGTCAATATAGTCGTGTTTGACAAAAAATTTTCCATATCCGGACTGTTCTCCTACTGTTGACCGTTTCATCTTGGACACCGATACAAGTGATCAAGCTATCGGTTTTGTGTTACCACGAGTTTATTCGAGTGGAAAATAAAGAGTTGCTGTGTATGGAAATGAAATGTTACGTACGTCGAAAGTATTACTGTACAACAGGCAAAGAGATGCTAGCAGTCATTTACTTTTTGCTCTACTTCCAGTGTTACTTATTAGGATGTAGGTTTGTCACTAGGACTGATTGTAAAGCTTTAATATGATTACTGGATTTTAGAGATCCCTTAGGGTAAATTGTTCAATGGCAGGAGTGCTTACAATAATATGACTGCGAGTGCACCCGTAGGCCCGGTAAGCAGCATCAAAACGTGGACGCCTTGTCACATCGAGCAGCCAAACTTCATGGAAGCTGTTCTTCGTTCGTTACACTGACAACTAATGTAATAGAGCTGAAAATTATGGAAGATCTTGAACGGACTCGTATTCGGGCAGCAAATCTGGAAACATCAATAGTATACAACGCTCAGAAAAACCAGAGTTCTCGGCCATCTTCAGAAGAAATTCAAGACTCCATTGTGAGAGGTAGATGTTTATGGTCCATATGGAAATTCCTAGCAATAACAGATGGAGCATCATATTTTCATTGTGGACCATACTATTCGAGATAACTAGTAGTCACACAGTCTGTGGTTAGTGGCGATGGAGACCGTCAAACGTAGAAATTGGTGGCCAAAACAAAGGGGAGACATATGAAACTATGTCATAGCTAGTAAGATCCGTCAA